GATTCTTTTTAATTGTTCAATGATACTCATTCGATCATGTGGTAGAATATTTATTTATGATAGAATAAAAACACCATCTTACTTGTAGTGTTATCAAAAGTTGCGTTCATCTATCTTTCCAGTAGTAACTCCGCCGAAGTTGGAACCTAGCCTTTTAAACCGAAAATAATATGAATAAATGGCTTGTTATGAGATTAGCCTTTTTTTTTTCTCTCTTTTAACAGTCAAATACTCAAATCAAATGCATTTCTTCACCTAATTGAGGATTGATCTATGACTCAATCATATATATTTTATCAAGCTCAAATCCTAATTAAAAGCTGCTCAAGCATTAAATTTTTTCCAATGGATTAAGAATCACCATTTACATGAATGTAACGGCACAAATTTTTTATCTTCTTGAGATTTAAAATTCATAGTATTTCGAAAACTTCGAACAATAACAATATATACCCAAGATGACCCAAAGTAAATGAAGATACTAAAAAATAGGGAAAAAGAACTCTTTAAATTCAAAAGAAAACAAAGGTTTAAAAGTTAGTAAAAAGCAGATCCCAAAATACCCGTATTAGAGCAAATATTTGCAGCAGAAGCTCGGTCACTTCAGCTTCACCCCCTTCACTGATCTACCTTCATTTTGATGGCATTACCTAACGCATGTATGTGCAAATCAATATACAAAGTAAGACAAGTAACAAATTAGAAGAGTTCACCGCAAGAGTAAAACAACAGAAACAACAACAAAAAAATAGAAAAAGAAGAAGAAGAGCAAGGGAAGCAAAACACTGTAACGCGGAGGATTTTGAAGAATTGTAAATAGGAGAAAATGATACCTAAAAAGGAAAGGATCAGAGAAAATGGAGAGATCAAATGAAAGGAACAAAATTGACATGTAAGCCTGAGAGCGGACAGAATGGGTAATTAATATGGGTATTCGTTCATATTTACCTATTTTAAATGGATTGGGTATTCAATTTATTTAAAAATGGGTAAAAATGAATAATATCCATATTATCTATATCTTCTATATTTTTAACTTAAAAGCACCAACTCCTAACTTAATGGTAAATTACTAAATAGCCCCTATTCCATCCTACCCCATCGGCACTATATACACCCATTCGCATCAGCCGCCACTCCCCCTGTTGAACTTTTAACATAGCCCTTCGTACGCTATACACAACCATTCTGGAACGTCACCACTTCCAAACCACTGCCATTGAACAAACACGTCCGCCTTGAATTATCAAACATTCACAACCCATCGCTTCCCACACTATAAAACTCGCGAACTCAAATTCTTCTCCCCATCGAACATATATTACGATTAACGCACAGGTTTGCAACGACACACCCTCTCCTTCTCAACACTGCCTTAATGAATCTATCAATTTCCTTCACCCTTTAATTTGGTTTTCCTGCACGCAGATAACTTGCAACCGCATCATCTGTGTAACATCCGGCAATGTGAAATAATTGAAGAGGCTTAGAATTTGGAATTTTCATTTTTATTTGGAAAGAATTTTTAAAAATCTGGAAATTTGGTTTAGTGTGGGAAAAAAGTGAGTTTTTTGGCCAACTTTTAACAGTCATAACTCCTAGATCAGGATGAGTAGGGTGTAGTTCCAGTTATGGTTGCGAAGCTCGTGGAATGATATTTCCAACGCCACCAAGTTTGCTCGATTCCGAGTTCGTATGAGCGAGTTATGCCCTTTGAAAGTTGAACAGTTGGCAGGGAATACGTCCGGAAATTTTAAGGGCATTTTAGTCTTTTCACTAACCAATTCTTTTGGTTATATTAAAGTGTTGGACTGATTTTTATATGAGTTTGTCCCATTTTAAAAGAGTGAGAGTGAGAGTGAGAGTTAGGGCTTTTGAGAGAAGAGGAGAAGAAGAGGAGAAGAAGAGGAGAAAGAGAAGATCTAGCAAGGTTTCGTCAAGGATCGTCATGGATATCGTCAGGGGTGATCCCTACTAGGTATGTGAGTTCATAGTGTTGGGTTGATCCTTTCCCCCACACACCAAACTCGTTTTTTTTCAAGAAAAGATTGGTTATGTTGTTGAAGTTGTTGGGTTGTGTTGTTGGTGTTGTTGAAGTTCCTTGTTGATTTGGGACATGTTTCCGGTTGTGTTTTGAGTTGAAATCTATTGTATGTTGAGGGGTTTATGATTCTAAGTGTTTGGCGTTGGAACCTTTGAAGTTTAGAAGGTTTAGAGTTGGAGAAACAAGAGAGGAAAGTCGGAGTTTCGGGGAAAAGGGGCTGGGGCGTCGCGCCAGCCAGCGCGCCCCAGCAGGGGATCTGAAGTTTCCCCTATGGGGCAGCACGCTCATCAGTGTGCCAGCAGGCCCCTTCTGAAGTTTTTGGCCTGGCGCTCCGCGCCTCTCAGAGCGCCCAGTCTTCCCATTCCTTCCCCACTTTTTCATACATGTTCCTAGGTATTGTACCTATGTTTCTTAGTTGTTTTCAACACTCCAACGTACGTTGAAACGTCAAGAACTCGTCCATAACATGTGATCAAACACCTTGAATTCATAATTCCAATTCAAGGAAAGTTAGTTTCCAAGTCAAGGGAAGTTAGAAGTCAAGCTTAGAAGTTAAGTAAGTCAAAGCAAGTCTTTAAGGTTTTCCAAGAGTCTTCATTGAACGTTATAACTTCTTTTAAGGCTCAAGTTCCAAGTAAAGCATAGAGTTTCAAGCTAAGTAAAGAGTATAGAGTTTCAAGTTAAGTAAAGAGTATAGAGTTTCAAGTTAAGCCAAGAGTCAAGAGTCAAGTGCATTCTCAAAAGTTATTAGGGAACTAAGTATTTCCCAAAGAAGTTTATTAATGTTTTCACATTTAAGATGAGAGGAAACTGAGATTTCCAAAAGAGTTTTGAGAAGTTTGAGTACTATCTCTTTCTGAGAAAAGATGAGTTTTGCGAAAGAGTTTCTAAAACATGATTAGTATGACAAATCGAGTATGTCATCACTGTTTCAACAGTATGGTCTCTAGATATACCATCAATGTTTAAGCAATATGAATATCCCAAGTCATCAATAATCATATTAACAATATGGTTTTTAGATGTTCTTTTTAGAAAGAGTTTTCAAGAGCCTTTGGGCTAAGTTTTGAGTAATTATCTCAACTAAAGAAAGATGTGTTTAAAACACTTATGAGCTAAAGTATTTTTGGGAGTAGTCTTGAGCACCGAATTGGGGACACGAGTTCATATTAACTCAACTCTCCATCAGAACCATGTAGCCAAACATGGGATTTTTCGGGTCATACTTTTTAGATGATCACGAAAGTTAAGCTAGCGGATCCACTAAGCAATAGCGTTCTATATGACGGCAAAGTATAAGACAGTTCTGGCAGCGTGGACAAGACGTTGTATCACCACTTAGACATGTAGTGGTGGCTGTCGGTTAGAGAACTCCCACAGTAGAAAGAGCTTGGTTCCTCGAGAAGTTCTGCTTAGTGTGGATGGGGGTATGGGACTTCATTCATGCATTGCACAAGTAGACTTTGAGAGGAAGCATGGTATTTTCATGATATTATAAATATGATTTTTACATCATGCTTTAAATAGTTTTAGAAGCTTTATATATATGGCATGTGTCTCATTGCTTTATATTTAGTTCAGTTATTCATGAGTTGAATAGAGTCAAGGTAAGTTCTCTTTTGTATCCCTTTCAAGCTTAAGTTATTGTCTAGCGGTCCAGCCCGCATCTCGTACATTCCATGTACTGATGCCAGTTGGTCTGCATCTTATTATGATGCAGACGCAGGTATCCAGGATCAGCATCCAGCAAGCCATTGATCCAGTTGAGCACTCCAGAGTCAGTAGTGAGCCTTCTTGCTTTCCGGAGGACTCGATTATGTTGATTCTTTTAGTTTCGTTTTATTAGGATGTTGCGGGGTCTGTCCCAACATCCATCTCAGTATTATAGAGGCTTCATAGATAGTCAGTCAGTTAGTTTTGAGTCTCTCATCTATGTGTATATGTAAATATCCTATTTTGAGATTCGAGCGGCATTTGTGGCCAGATTTTATAAGTTAAGTTGTTTTGTAACCTTGCATTTGCATTGAGTTATTCTGTTGAGTTAGGTTTCCGCTAAGTTAAGAAAGCCAGGCCAAGGGTTCGCTTGGGGGCCAGCAATGGTCTTCGAGTGCCGGTCCCGCCCAGGGTGTAGGCTCGGGGCGTGACAAACTGGCTCTCTTCTCTGCTTTTAGACAAGTTGTAGGTGAATCCCTTTTCTATTTTATCCCGTTAAAACTTTAAACTCACATGAACAAGACTATTTGGCACCATATAATTGCTCATGACATTCTGCAAGCACGCAATGTGAAACACATTCCACAATGAATAATGGCTACAAGAACAACCCATTCATTCGCTTTGTTCCTCCCCCTTGCTGCAACAATACGACTGCCTCGCCTGCACATCTATAATTCCCTGCCAATTGCAACTATAAAATTCCTATATTTGGGATACTCCAAACCTTAGGATTGGCATATTTACATCTTATTACTGTTAATATATGTTCATATATATATATATATATATTTTAGTGCTAACCTTATGTTTCTCGCACATTACATCTTACTGCTAACGTCTTAATTGCATGAAATTTCCTCCAAATGTTGCATACTATTACCACACGCTGCCCTCATCAATCGTGCCCATACACATTTACGCCCAATGTTAACATTGTTACACTCATTTCCCCAGGTATGTGCATTCATCCAGATCCAACCCAAATGGCGACTGAAACAGAACTAGCAAAACAAACGATATTGATAAACAATATACCAAAAAACTCTGTTGATTGGGTGATGTGGGTCTTAGTTATTCAAAGGGGTTCAATAATACCTTACAAGAATTCAAGGCATGAAGGAACTTTCCGACTATAATATTAGTAGATGACGAGGTAACAACATTGACACTTTTACTTACCTTGTTTTACACTGGTTCATGTTGGTTGAACTTATTCCACCCCTCTGCCGCTGAATAATAGGGGACCAAGAATCAAGCAACACTATTTAATAAGCATATCGAGACATGGAAGGACTCCTTGAAGCCTAAGAGTTACTACATTGCCAAAGGGCGGTTAGATAGCGTCAACCCCAACTACTCTTCTGTGCACAAAGAAGTTGAATTGGCCTTTACAGACAATACAATCATACAGGAGACTGAGCATGCGGTTTCAACTCACAAATTCTCTGATGGCTTTTTATCATTGGAACATGCTGATAAATTACCTAATGGTTCTATTCTAGGTAACTATCCACACGACTAAGCTATTATTCTAATCTCTAATTTACATTATCTATTTCCAGACTTGATTTGCGTCTTAGTTTCGGTGAATCCCCTCATTCAAAATGCAAATTCCAAAAGACGGGAAATAGTTGTTACAAATCAGCTGTAAGTTGCAATGACGCATATTCTACCATGTGTATATAGATAAAATGATGTATTGATTATTCACTTCTAACAATTGATCCAGCATGGAGCATACAACCGTTACTCTTTGGGGAGATTTTGTTGAAAATGACGGTGCATTCCTCGAAAAGCTGCAAGATAATAAGCCTATACTGGCCTTATGTGACGTCAAAGTCTCAATCTATAAAGGTATTGGCAGTGTATTGTAGCTATTTATCAACTATAAACTACCTATAGTCATTGTTTCTAAACGTTAAAATGCTCTTGTCACACTAGGCCGATTTGGGATCTCTACTATTCCTGTGAGCAGCATCTTAATCAATCCAATGTTCCAAAAAGCAAACGACCTTCGAGCATGGTACATTACATAATTCACAAATATATTCTCCATTGTTACTTTAACCAAACTGACACAACTGTCAATTGTAAGTGAACATTGCTATAACATGACATATTTCCTCTATTATGATTGTTCTAAACTTACATATTAATACCAAAAAATTGACAATACTATACACCGTACAGACCTCACTCTAAATGGGTGATACAGTTAACTAACCACATCGCAAATACATACGTGAAATCATAAAGGCCAACAACAAAGATATTACAATAACGCCTACTAAGGTAATGAGAAGAGCCATAGAAGTTCCATTGGCCAATATTCTAGATGGGTTGTTCGCTGATTCAGAGGTACATACTAACCGATACTTCAACTCCCCGTAAAATAAATTCATTTATATGTTCAACGTGTATTCTCAAATATGTTCTATTGGCGATTTGCAGGATTGTATGTACAAGTTCAAAGCAACAATTGAAGACATACTCAATAAAGATGAGCCATGGTATTCGTCTTGCAAAAAGTGCCACAAAAAAGTGAGATTTATAGAAGACACTTGTAACACCCCAGAGAATTTTTCGAACTAAGACTCGAGACGTCCTTCATGTGGAGTGAGATTTTACCGAGGAATAAAATTTCTTGAGTGTTAAGTAAAGGTCCCTAGGTATAGCACATTGAGTTCCAAGAAGAGTTGAATTGGAAATAGTCATTTTGGAAATAATCTGGAAAATTTGGCTAAGTATGGAAAAAAAAGAGAGTTTTTGGTCAACTTTGAGCAGTCGTAACTCCTAGCTCAAAATGATTTAGGCAAATTTCCAGTTATGTATGGAAAGCCCTTGAAATGATCTTTCCAACGCCACCGAGTTTGCTTGATTCCGAGTTCGTGTGAGTGAGTTATGCCCTTTGGAAGTTGGGCTCTTGGCACAGTCGCACAGTGCAGTTTGTTTAGTCCGAAAATTTTAAGGGTATTTTGGTCTTTTCCCTAATCTTTTCTTTGGGTTATATTGAGGTGTTAGACTGATGTTTGGATCATTTTTGTCCCATTTTAAAGAGTGAGAGTAAGAGTGAGAGTTAGGGCTTGGAAGATAAGAGAGAAATAAGAGGAAAAGAAGAGGAGAAAGAGAAGAAGAAGCTAAGGATCGTCATGGATTTTCGTCGGGGGTGATCCCTAATCAGGTATGTGAGTCTTTAGTGTGGGTTTATCCTTTCCCCCCACATACCAAGCTCGTTTTTATGATTTGAGAAGAGATTGGATTTGTTGTTGAAGTTGTTAGTTGTTGTTGATGTTGTTAGTTGTGTTGTTGAAGTTATTGTTGGTTGTGGGACAGGATTGGGCTGTGTATTTGAGTTGTGACCTATTGTATATTGAGGGATTTTATGATCCTTAGTGTTGGTTGGTTCATACCCCCACACACCAACTCGTTTTTAATTCCAAGAGAAGATTTATTGGTTGTTGAAGTTGTAGTGGTGTTGTGTTGAAGTTCTTGCTGATTTAGTACAGATTTCTGGCTGTGATTTTTGAGTTGAATCTATTGTATAATAAGGGTCTTTATGATTCTAAGTGTTGCTGCTGAAACCTTGAGGTTGAGAGGGTTTAGAATTGGAAAGAAACAAGGGGAAAAAGTCGGATTTTTGGGGAAAAAGGGGCTGGGCTGTTGCACCTCTCCTAGTGCCAAGGACACCAATCCTTCCCTTTCATTCACCATTTCTTTTTTTATACATGTTCCTAGGTATTATACCTATGTTTCCTAGTTGTTTCCAACACTCCAAGGTACTTCCAAAAGTCAAGTAAAACTACAAGTCAAGTGAAGTTAGTTTCCAAGTCAAGTGAAGTTAGTTTCCAATTCAAGTGAAGTTAGTTTCCAAGTCAAGTGAAGTCAAGCTTAGAAGTAAGTAAGTCAAAGCAAGTCTTTAAGGTTTTCCAAGAGTCTTCATTGAGCGTTTTAACTTCATTCTAAGGCTCAAGTTCCAAGTTAAGTATTGAGTTTCAAGTCAAGTCAAAAGTTAAGAGTTTCATATTAAGTTAAGAGTTTCACATCAAGCCAAGAGTTCAAGTAAAGTAAAGAGTTTAAAGTTGAGTTCATTTCTCAAAGTTATTAGGGAACTATGTATTCCCAAAGAAGTTTTAAAGAAATGTTTTTACATTTAAACAAGGTTGGAAACTGAGATTTCCAAAAAGCCTTCGGGCTAGTTTTTGAGTAATTATCTCATATCAGCAGGAAGAAATATGTTTTAAAAACATAAGAGCCAGTACATTTTTGGGAGTAGTATCGAGCACCGAATTGGGGGAGCGTTCAAAGAACCCACAGCCCCCATAGAACCATGTTAGCCACCATGGGTAGAAAAGGATCATACTTTTTAGATGAATCCTTTTCAGATTAGACTAGTGGATCCATTAGGCAGTTCAGGTCTTATACCTTTGGCCGGGTATAAGATGCTCTGGCAGCGTGAGGTCGATCGCTGTATCATCACTATAGCTCTTATGTGATGGTTGTCGGTTAGAGAAACTCCCACAGCAGTTATTATATTTTTATACACAGAAATTATTGTATTTTATATACATCAGTTCAATTGTATTTCTATATACATCTCAGGCTTATTGTATCCTTGTATACACACAGAGTTTATAACATGTTTTAAACAGTCTTTCTTTATATCGCACTTGTTTTAAATTGCCTTATATTGAAAGAAGTCAGTCAGGTTGAGTTCAGTTATTCAAGAGTCGAGTATCCTTGAGTTAAATATCTTTGAGTTAAGTATATATCTTTGAGTTAAGTATATATCTTGAGTTGAGTATATATCTTGAGTTGAGTATCTATCTTGAGTTGAGTATCTATCTTTGAGTTGAGTATATATCTTTGAGTTGAGTATCTGTCTCTGAGTCCAATATCTATCTTCTGAGTTGAGTAAGTTTGAGTAGTTTTGAGTATTCCTTGAGTTGAGAAAGTTTGAAAAGAGGTAAGTTGTTCAGTTTATTCCAGTTTTTCTTCTAGCCTATGTTGTTTAGCTTTCCAGCTTACATACTCGTACATTCCACGTACTGAGCCGTTTGGCCTGCATCTTTTTATGATGCAGACACAGGTATACAGGATCATCAACAGGAGATTCGTTGATACATCCGGGAGTTCCAGTTAGCTATGACAAGCCTCTTTGCTTTCGGAGGATTTCATTTACCTTTCAGTTGTATCAGTTGTTAGGAGGTCGTGGGTCTTGTCCCGACTTCCATCTTTATCAGTTAGAGGCTTCATAGATAGACAATAGAGTTTCAGAAGTGTCTTCATTTATTTTGTTAAATGTTTTGAAGACTAAAGTTGCCTTTTATGGCGAGTTGTATATATATTCTATTATACAGAGTTTTCTTTTGAGTTAAAGATTTGTAAAGTTGAGTTTATAAACTCTTATTCAGTTTTAAGCTCTTGTATGCTTAAGTTAGTATTTCACTTGGAGTCAGCCAGGATGAGGGTTCGCTTGGGGACCAGCAATGGTCTTCGAGTGCCGGCCACGTCCAGGGTGTGGGCTCGGGGCGTGACAACACTGCTGCTTGTAACAATTGCAATAGTCAAAATGTCGAATATGAAATGAGGTTCTACTATGTTTTAACGTGATTCAATATTTACTAATTACTAAACATATTATATTAAAGTTACAGCCCCCTATTTTGCAGGTATTGCTTACGACTTGAGGTGTGCAATGGAGAACGACGTGCTAGAGTCATTCTTTTTAAAGCAGTTAAATATATATTAGGCTGCATCGTGCAAGAGTACATAGAATCAAGCTCAGTAAAGGTATGAACTGTCACGCCCCGAGCCTACACCCTGGGCGGGACCGGCACCCGGAGACCATTGCTGGCCCCAGGCGAACCCTTGGCCTGGCTTTCTTAACTCAGCGGAAACTTAACTCAACAGTACAACTCAATGCAATGAAAGGTTATAAAACAACCAACTGATGCATAACATGCCAAAAGGCAGCTCGAGTCTCAAAATAGAATATTTACATATATATATAGATAAGAGACTCAAAACTAACTGACTGAGTGTCTATGAAGCCTCTAAATACTGGGATGGATGTTGGGACAGACCCCACAACACCCTAATATAACAAAACTAAGAACACAAAATAATTGAGTCCTCCGGAAAGCAAGGAGGCTCACCACTAACTCTGGAGTGCTCAGCTAGATCAACGACGTGCAGGATGCTGATCCGGGGTACCTGTGTCTGCATCGTCATAAGATGCAGGCCAACTGGCATCAGTACATTGAATGTACGAGTATGCGAGCTGGAAAGCTAAACCACAACTTAAGCTTGAAAAGAGTACAAGAGAACACTTACCTTGGCTCTATTCAACTCATGAATAACTGAACTCAATATATAAAGCAATAAGACACATGCAATATATAAAGCTTGTAAAACTCTTAAAACATGACGTAAAAATCATATTTATAATATCATGAAAATACCATGCTTCCTCTCAAGGTCTACTTGTGGAATGTATGAATGAAGTCCCATACCCCCATCCATACTAAGCAGAACCCTCGAGGAACCATGCTCTTTCTACTCTGGGAGCTTCTCTAACCGACAAACCACCACTATGAATATGAGTGGTGATACAACGTTTTACCTCACGTTGCTCGAGGACCATTCTATACCTTGCCGTGATATAGGAAGCTAATGATACAACGTTTTACCTCACGTTGCCTGAGGACCATCCTATACCTGGTCTTGATATAGGAAGCTAACTTTACTAAGTGGATCCACTAGCTTAACATTACGGGTTCATCTAAAAAGTATGACCCATTAACTCTCATGTTGGCTACATGGTTCTTATGGAGAGTTGAGTTTAATATGAACTCACGTCCCCAAATCGGTGCTCGATACTACTCCCAAAGTGCTTTTAGCTCATAAGTGTTTTAAACACATCTTTCTTTTAAATGAGATAATTACTCAAAATCTAGCCCAAAGGCTCACTTGGAAACGATGTTCCTTTTTCTTGAAAACTAGCCCTAAGGCTCTTTTGGAATCATAGTTCCTTTCTTACTCAAATGTAAAAACATTTAGAAACTTCTTTGGGAATACATAGTTCCCTAATAGCTTTTGAGAAATGAACTCAACTTACACTCTTGACTTAACTTGAGTCTTGAGACTCTTTACTTAGCTTGAAACTCTAAGCTCTTTGCTTGACTTGAAACTTGAGTCTAAAAATGAAGTTAAAACGTTCAATGAAGACTCTTGAAAAAGCTTGGAGGACTTGCTTGAACTTACTTCTTAACATGGCTTGACTTGACTCTAACTTCTCTTTAACTTGATAATAACTTGTCTTGAATGGAACTATGGATTCAAGGTATATGATCACACGTATTTGGATGAGTTCGGGATGTTTAGACACATTTTGGGGTGTTGGAAACAACTAGGGAACATAGGTATAACACCTAGGAACATGCATGAGAAAGCACGGAAGGAATAGGAAAACTTGGCGCTCTGAGAGGCGCGGAGCGCTAGACCCGAAACCTCAGAGAGGGACTGCTGGCGTACTGAGAGGCGCGG